CTGAGTGCACCTGATTCTTGGGTGGGGAGGGGAGGGGGCGTGGTCATGAGAAATAGTCCTGCCACCACATCTGGAAAAAAATCCTAAGAAACACTGCATACATTTAATAAAATTAGAAAAATGCCATTACAAAGATAAAAAGAAAATGCCCCTGTATATCACTTTGAGTCAAATGTCACCTCATATTAGGAAGGCAAATTTTTTATCAGAATATTTTATTATTGATCAGAAGGTGCTACACCAAACCTGTCCCTAACCCTACCTGTATCACACCTCAATAACAGCAAAAGTGTTGTGCATTAACAAAAGCTTTTAATCATTGTATAACATCTGTTAAAATCATTTGTAGATTTTCAAGATGTACATGATTATATGAATTAGAAGTTTAATGACATTTGAATGCTTTTTATTTACATGAAATGTAAATTTTTAGGTAATGATTAAAACATTAATAATTAGTAAACATTAACAAGCACATTATTTCACGTTTCTATAGATATGTGAATATATATTAAGTAACGATCCGTAAGCATTAAATAATGTTTGTTAATGATTTATTAATTGAAAGTTATTATAAAGTGTTACTGAAAACTTGCCTAACGGGTTTGTTTGAATCTCATTCAGCCACGGCGGCCGCACCCGCAACAAGCATGCACGGACCCCCAGCAAACATGTTCGATACCGTCCCTGGATATGAAGGAACAGTGGCTGGCGGAGGCGGTAAGAAGCATGCAAGTTTTATCAAACATCAAAGAAGCTAAACAAAACGCTTCAGCATGAGAAAATGTGCTCGGGCTCATATGGTGCATTCAAGTCATGTCGGATAGATCATATTTACAAGTTGAAAGCACATAAACGTCACCACAAAATAGTAATTACAAGTGGGAAACTTTAAGCCCCAAGTTTCTGAATAGAGGGCATGTTAGTGCAAGTTGCATGTACAAAATTGTACAACTACCATAGAATATATAACTAATTAAATTTACAGCACCTTCATAAAATTTATAAACACATATAAAAGCAAAAACACACCGATGCACATTTTCTTTTCATCATTTTGTAGATGCGGAGTTAAAAAACCTTGTTGAATTTTATGTACAAAATGTACATTGCCATCTTGGTCCGACAAAACGATTTGAACGCACCTGACGTTGTAAATACAAATTTTCCAGAAGGACTTGAATGCAACAATAGACCTTATAGTGTTTAGAGCACAGAAATACATGAATGAGCCTCCTAGTTTTGTTGCTAGTGTTGTCTCTGTTTTCACAGGTGGGTATCTTCCACCTCCAATGCCATCTGAACCGATGCCTGTGCCTGAACAGGCCCCCAGCCCACCAGACTGGCAGTAAGAGCTTTTTCTCTATACAAAAAACACTCAATGCACACATTTAATCTTAAACACTCACCTAGATCAGCGGTTCTCAATTCCAGTCCTCGCGTACCCCCGCTCTGCATGTTTTGCATGTCTCTCTTTGTTAACACACCTGATTCAGATCATCATCTCGTTAGAAGTGAGCTCCGTGCATGAACTGTGTTCCGATTGACATGGTCCCTACAGTGTCCATTGCTCCCTACTCCCTGAGCAGGGGAAATCCTGTATATAACAAACATCTGAAGCAATAAGAGAAACATACAAAATGTGCAGAGCGGGGGTACGCGAGGACTGGAATTGAGAACCGCTGCTTTAGATGACAAAGTATTTTTCACAAATAAATAAATATTTAATAAAAATATAATTATAAAGTAAACTGTAACCAACAGAGCACTCAGTATTCTGGGAAGTTTGTGTGCATTGGGAATCATATTTTTTCAAATAAAGCCAAGGTAACACTCGTTTTACATACAGCACACAGTGAAAATCACATGAATATGACAGTGGGCAAATGCATAAAGCGCAGCATAATTTGAAATCACGAATTTAATGTTTAAAGCATTTAATTTGCACGGACCGAAAATCATGCAGAGAACAAGCGATCATGCAGATCACATGCACACTTCACAAGATCTCACAACTAGATTCGACTAAGTTTGCAAGGTTTGTGAAATAAAATTTTCCTTAGCCATTCAAAGATTTGTTTAAATGATGTAAATGCGTATTTGCTGAATGCTGACGGCAAACGAGAAAGTATTATAATGTTTGCCTTTCTATTT